GAAACCCAAGGAGCGAGTGTGATATCAACACTAAACTGAAAGAGACAGCAAACAACAATAATGTAAGCTTTTGCAAAGCCACTAAAAATTTGACTCGGTTACACTCAAAACACAAAAAGTAACCTCACGACTGGTGATTTTAAAGAATCATCTTTAGTTGGATTCCATGAATAAAGTATTTATTTTTTGAATTATTTTAAAAAGTTATGTCAAGAGGTTTCAGGCAACTGTGTTACATAACTCTTAATAAACTGGTTATGTTTTATTCAAATATGTTGAACTGACTCAATAAAAAAGCCATTGAGATACTGCCAAAACACTGTATTATATTGAAATAATGAAAATTACTAAAATAAATGTTTTTTGGGAGTTACTTAACACAGCTGTATGAAACCGCTTGGCATAACTTTTTTAAGTAAACCAAAAAAAGAGGAAACAACAAAAAAAAAAAATTTGGGGGAGTGTATATCTGTTAGAACAGTGCAAATTTCAAACCTTTGTCCCTACTCTGCAAACATTATGTTCTTACTGTAAGCCTTTTTTCCTTAATTTGAAGACATGGAAGTCAGTTGGAGTGATTATAATTCAGAAAATTGGAACAGGTGTTAAGCAAAGCCAGAGATGAGTTGTGCATTTGAAGAACAGGTTGCGTCTTTTTCTAAAAAAGAGAGAATAAACACACTATCCAACACATGTGCTCTAATTTGGCTCCCCCCCCCCCCCCCCCCTTCAAACAAGGCTGAATTTTAAATGCAAACTTTTTTCCCCATTTTAGTAATTTTACTACAAATGTGAGCAGATAAGATTGCAGGAGTACAAGAATACAGTAAATGTGGCCATTTGGATTTAAAAAAAAATCTTACGCACAACTTATTTTTTGTGATACCCAATTACCAAAAATGTGCTACATGTGCCATTTGAGACAGTTTTTCAGTTTTTCCTACCTTCTTGCTTTAAATATGTGTAACAATATACAAATACATTGTATGGGCACAAAAACAACACTGAATAAAACACAAGTTTTCCCAGTGAGAAGGCCATACTGATGTAACCTCCGCTTATTCTGAGCTTTCTAGATATCCCATCGTGACTAAATAAATGGCAGACAACATACCAGTTCTATAGTCCTTCAGAATACCTGCCGAATTTGTGTGTCAAATCTGTTGACCTTGTTACATAACATTCATGACGACATAAAAGAATGAGTAAAATAGGTTGTACAGTAGTAGGCGTAGACAAGCAAGCACACTGGGATGTTGTGGTATTTTTAAAGTGTGGCAAGCTTGTAATAATTGCCAGTGTTTTTTTTTTTTAAATGGATATCTGCTTTTTATAAAAGAAAGATAAAAGATTAGACAATGCAGCAGATACTATATTAAATTCAGTGAAGACTTAAAATATTCATTGTTCAGAAACGTTATTCTGTTTAACTTGCTGTGTATGATCGTTAACAAGCAAGACAACATTAAAAGTGGCAGATTTTGCAGTCGAAGACAGCAATAAGCAGACACACATGACTAAAGCATGATGAAGGTTCATTAAATTTTCAGTTTAATCTTCACACTGATAAGATGGCAAAAAAGTCACTGCTAATTAAAAACAACAACTGTGATTGTAATTTCTCTACTGAGAGCTCCTTATAAAGTCTCTCTATAATGCGGAATAAAAATAGGAGCCTGAGCTGGTTTAAATATGAAGCTTTAGTTATTTAAAGCAGATAAAAAAAGATGATGGAAGATTAGGTTTCGATAGATAGACAACAGCAATAGACGTAAAATATAGACTTCCCGAGCCTCCGCTTGCAGGTACCTGAAACTGGAGTCCTACATTTTTCCCTAGAAATTGATTTAATTAGAAAGCAGTTTATTGGTGTTTACCCTTAAGAGCAGCCTGCTCAAATGTAAATCGTTCATGCACTCTGCTTGCATATGAAAGCACAGAATTACCAGCTTATATCATTAAACCCTAATGAAATGGACACATATGTGCATGTAGATGTAATGGTAAAGATAATGTTGCCCATATCTTTTTTTTTTTTAATTTTTTTACAAACCTGTGTACGCACAAATCTGTGGTTTACTATCCGGGATTACTCAATATTTTCTTGTGTGAAATTTTTCACATTGTGTAATATGGACAAATACCGAATCCCCAAATAGTAAAACATATATTTTAAATGAATGTATATAAAGCATATTAAAACAATGACTGAAAGGGATTTGACTGAAAACAACATTTAATACCATTAGTTCCCTTACTGCTTGTATCAGCTTTCAAATGTGTTAAATAACCATAAAATTTATTCAGTTTCCATCCTTGGATTTCATCACTTTCACTCTCATTTCTTTGTAAGACCTAGGTTATGGAGGTTTGTCAAATTATTGCACTGAGTCTCTGATCTTGGTTTGACAGATCAGGCGGTTCTTGTCCTCCACCTGCTTCCTTCCTCGGCGACAGTTCTTGCCTTAGGGGACACAACATTCGACACCTTAATTATTGCAGCCCGAGCCTTTGATTGCAAAGAGTGAGCATGTTGCTCTTGATTTAGAATCATTCTAATTCACTACACTGAATAACTGAAATTGATTTGGCTCATAAACACGTTTCGCCGATTGATAATTTTGTGTACGCACTTGTTTTAAGAATATTTGAGTGCACAAATTAGGGAATTGACCCTGCATTTTGAACATCTAAGCTGAACACTTTGAAATGGATCGCTAAGTTAAGGTTTTGTTTTTGTTTTTAGTTCACTACCTGGGATGAGATCCTCATTTTAGGTTTGACACCATTTCTAGTAGATAATGGCAGATGTCTTGAGCATGAATTGAGGCTGCGGTTTGTAGAATGTCTCAAAGGGGAATGGCAGCAGCTCCCAGGCCAATAAATTCCAATAAATTATATCCACTTAAGGTTGCATTCTCATAGATCCATTAATTGTTTTAGCATTAAAACAGCATAATATACACTCAATTGTATTTTAGTGGTACACCTTACCAGTATGAGTGTTGGACCCTCTTTTGGCCTCTGAATTGCCTTAATTCACTGCAGATTCATTGCAGGTTGTACTACCTAAACATAACAACATAGATGGCTTCCCCCAAAGGTTCAACACTTTGATCAAATTGGTTTACTTTCCGGAGGGTTTATTAAAAGAAGGGACATTTCCACTTTAATAGGCTTGTGGTTTCCCAGAATTACTTAATTGTATTTCTCCTTTCCCACAGAACAAGGCCACTTGTTATGCATAGACTAAATGGCCTGTATTTGTATAGCGCTTTACTTAGTCCCTATGGACCCCAAAGCGCTTCACACTACATTCAGTCATCCACCCATTCACACACCGTTGATGGCAAGCTACATTGTAGCCACAGCTGCCCTGGGGCGCACTGACAGAGGCGAGGCTGCCAGACACTGGTGCCACTAGTCCCTCTGACCACCACCAGCAGGCAATGGGTGAAGTATCTTGCCCAAGCACACAACGACTGAGACTGCTGGAGTCGGGGCTCGAACAGGCAACCTTCCGATTACAAGACGAAGTGCAAACTCTTGAGCCACGATCGCCCCACTGGAGAAACCCAAGAGCCAGCATATCAAATAAAATGTCAGTTTCACAAATGAGCTTTTTTAAATAGATAAAGGAGGTTTGTTACATGTGGCCAGTGTTTGTTTTGAGGAGCATAGAATCACCTGATGTAGATATTGTAGAGATTAAGGCTGTCCACAGATTTATCTCTAAGGAAATGGAACATTTATCCAAAAGTCAACACTTACAAGAACCAAATTTTTCACTCTGTCTATATGTGATTCAGTAAAGGTTTTGTATCATTTGGCAACCAATACTTTATTCTCAGTGACTAACAGGAGCTTCAGCTTCTCACAGGTGTTGTTGTAGGCAGCAGCAATGATAATTCTTTATCACTGTGGCCAAGCCGAGTAGACTGCAGTGCAGAAAATTTAAGACCAATTTATTTTAATTTTCCAGTCTTATGTTTTCTTATTAAATCAAATGAAGCAAATGCAAGTCCACAGTGCATGATCAGCCTATGCAACACATCACAAAGTGGCCATATTTTATTTCCACACCCTGCCATAACAGCTATAAAGCCAATCTACATCCACCAGTCAATCATAAGAGACTAAACATCAACCAATGGTTTCTTACAGGAAACATAGTGACTACACATTTACATAACACCCGGCTAAATAAACAGCAGAGAGCTGCAGTGCTCAGAGGGAGGTGAGTTGAGAGATTGATAACACACACCTCCAGCTCTAGATCACAAGCCAGCTCATTTTATAATCAGTGTTTTCCAATTCCCTAGTAATGACCAACATCTCAACCACCAACACAACCAAAATGACATCTACTTTTTCCATTATTTTTTTCTAGTGGCTTCATACTTGTTTGCATTCTTTAATGAAGGCTTTCATCGCCTCCTCATGAAACCTGCACAGATTTCACACTTTCTCTGTAAAATAAGTGTGTTTCTGCAATACAGCGAGTTTTCTTGCTAATGTGACCAATGATGCATATTCTAGGCACTGTGTACTGCTGCTACAAATTCCCCATGTTAATGTTAACTATTTATGTTCAGCACAAATGTTGGTGCAAAACTCAAGTTACAGAAGTTATAACCATTCTGTACTCCACCTGATGCATGCATGTTCACAACTTGCGTGTGGCTCCAACACATTTAAGCAGTCAAACATCCTTGTTTTGTATCCACTACCCCGTTTCCATCGTATAAGATATCCAATTACGCTGCATTACACTAAGGTCATAGCGAACCAGTAGCAGGCTAGGCGACGTTCTTGCGCATCTGGCAAAGTTATATACAAAATGCCACAATAATACTCGTTTTCTTCATTACTGGAGGGCTGTTATTACTCTTATCTTGTCTTCACACCTCCTCCTTACTGACGCATCTCTCAGAGCTCTGTCTATGCTGGCCAAGAGGCGCGCTCTCGCTTGCGCGTCCCCTTCCGTCGGCACACGGACGGGTGTCGGCGTGAGCGTCGTTGAGCTGTGAATGGACATTAATGGGGAATGTAATACACTTCTCTCAGTGACTGGTTTCGTCTGTTATTTAATCGCTGCAGCGGAAGAGTGGGTAAGTTTATTTTCTGCAGGTTGTGCATTTATTGAGAGACAGACTGTGTTCAGCTTTTGAATTCATGGACCGAAATTAGGAAGTACTTTCTAGACAGAGACAGATCTCTATGTGCCAAGTGCATATTAAGCTTAATTAATGTGGCATCAATATAGTCTTGGTACCCTAATTGTTTTTTGAAATGTCACTCAGATATTGCAACGTTGTCTTTGTACATGTATAAATCAAAGCAGAGCTCCCACTTTGCCTCCACCTTTGTGCAAAGCACAACTATTTCCACGCTTATAATTCGATAAAGTCTGAACTGGATGTTCAAAAAGACTCAGGAACGATGCACCATCTTTACACTTGTACCTTTCTATTTTTTGATAAAGTTACAGTCCTTCGTTTTCTTTTCTTTTATTCAGTTTACCCTCCTCTCAGATCTAACACAGTGACTTCATAATGAGCGTGCGGTTTTAATTATATAAGAGACAGCAACAAATTAATGTACCTGCTCCTGGTACAGGCTGTTTTTGCATTGACTGAGTATTGTTTGGATCTTCATGGCTTATCAAGAGTGAAAAAGGATGAGGGAAAAAAAATCATCTTGTCTTGAAATGTTCTTCTGAAAGCAAAGGCTTTCGAGTTGCTACATGTGTGTTTGTGAATATATAATACAGCCATATTCTCTGGCTGCTCATAATGTGCTTCACATCAGAAGGACATTTTATAGCAGGCAATCAGGTTTCCAAATACCTGGTGGAATTCAGCTACAAGGCTTTTTTGCTGCAATGAAATAGTTCTTTGACCAGCAGCATCAGCAGGTTCACTGGTGTTCCTGGACCAACCCATGGAAGATCAAACCTACAGCATTACATCAAGTGTGCTCAAGGAGGAGGATGATGTGTGGTAGAGACAGGCAGAGCCTTGTATGTGAAGGGAGTGTGGATGTGTTTGTGTGCGTATTACAGCATATGTGTAGGATTATGTGCTGGTATGATAAAGAGAGAGTGAGAAACAGTGATGGCATCAAAGGAGAGGCTTTGCTTTTTCATATAGTTGTGAGAACCAAGCATGGTCACATATCTGACTGCATGCATGTTCATGCACATCTGCAGATGTGAATGTCAATATCCTAATGGGCCAATTTGGCAACATTTATATCTACTAACAACATTTGAAAAAAAGAGTATTTCTTCCCTGATGTGTGCACATGGCTGAGTCTTTTTATGGAAAATATGGCAAGGTTAGTTTATAGTAAGGTTATACAATGACTTGGCTAATGGTGAAAGTCTGTGTTTTCAGGATATGGAAATATCAATGCTAATCGCAGGGCTTGTCCTGGCTACATGTCAGTTGGACACAGTAAATGTTCATCCACCCCTGACTTCCTGCCTCGTTATAAAGGATATACATCTTGCTCCACTGACATTAATATTGAGATAAGATGTACATATGGATATAACTCCCAGGATACTAGAGTGGTCCATGTGCACGCACAGCAAAGTGCCACACCATCCTTCAGAAGCTTGAGGACAGTATTAAGGACTCTTTCATTTAAATGACATGAAATATTTGAGAAGGTCTCCACGCTGGGCTCTTTTTCTGGTCAAGGTGACACATTTACTTATGGAACTTAATTACAGCTGCGAAGTTATCTTGGAAAGAAAAATAGTGGACCTCAGTGATGAGTAGCAGAGTCAGACCAAGGACACGTCGTGGCTCGTGATGGTCTGAGGGCCCCGGAGTAGCAAGTATTTAGTGTAGCTCATGCTAACTGATTCCCATAGATACAATATCACATACCAGAGTGATGCTTTATCCATTTCATGCTTAACAAAAAGATCCAAGTCATTGCAAAATCCATTCTAAAATTTATGTTGCAACATATACTGCAAGACAGAGTAGGATTTTATTTTTTAAATATCAATAAGAGCAGTAGTACAGCAATAGAATCAATTTTGCCTGAGGCTAGTTTTTATTGACAGTTTGTCCTACCTCATCCTTACTTGTGATCATGCTTGATTCTGCAAGAACATATTTACCTCATTAAATTATTAAAGCTTCATACATCTTTAGCTGACACATTTGATTTTGGTCAAAGGTCAAATTTACAGATAGGAAATTTATGAGATCCCATTTTAATAGTCACAGTTTTAATAGCAATGGTACTACACTACTTCTGTGTTTCTTAACGAGGGTTTAGGGACCTTCGGGGAAGGAGGTGGGTGGGGTTGGAGAGACTTACAAAGACTTCAATAAAAAGAGAAACATTAAAAGCAAACAAAACATGGAAAATGAGCAGAATATATATATATAAACATTTAGCAACAGAAAAAGCAAACAAAACACAAAATGACAAGGGTTCAACAATAAAACAGACACCCATGTCACACATTCTGCTAATTCACCCAGAGTGCATCACGGTATTCTGTGTAAGAAATGATAAAAGCATCCCTGCAACTTTATGTAAATGTGAATGTAACATTAATATTTCCCTTACGCTGAAAGGTAGCTGAAAAATATGCCTCTGAGAAGTTCTGAGAGGCAATGTTGGTAAACTTTAGGCTGTAAGCTTGGGCTGCAGGATTATTATTATAATTACTCCATAAGGGATGAGCAGTAAAGAGCAAAGCTCTATGGCAATACTGAATAACCTGTGCGTTGATGCATTGTGCTCTGAATATTTTACAGTTTGAGTTTTTGCAGCCCCTCAAAGGAAACTAGCAAACAGCACTGAGTAGATGAACTAAACCAAAAGGTGTAGCGGATGTGTTTGCTCACTACAAAAATGATATTTACCTTGTGTTCCCCTTCTGTTTATGTCATGCGCCGATAAACTTGTTTTCTTTGCATCACAGTGGATTTCAGTGCTTAGCTGAGAGTTCTTCATCTAACATAAGACTCTTTAAATATTTAAAAGTATGTAATATCTGTAGTTTTGTGATTGGTATGCAGACAAGACCTGCTGTTTCTGTTTACACTTTGAATTATTTGATAGTATCAGCAGTGCAAAAGACAGTATATCAGCAAAATAGAACATCTTATATTGTTTGTCCTGAAGGGGTATTTGTTTGCTGTCTTTACTCTTAAATACACATGTTATCCTTTACCTGTGGCCAGTCTTTTACCTCAAAACATAATTTTATTAGAGAAATGAAGCTTTTAAGATTTCTCTTTCAGCTGATCCAAGTAAATCAGATGAGGGCTGGCACATTTTTCATAAATGTAATGGCTTAAATCGTTTTAAAGAAAGACTTCTGGGACAAGCATTATCTTGTCTTCTTTCCATTTCCCTCTGGCTCTTAACAAAGCCCAGCCACATAGCTGATGTACATCTTTTCACTGACACATGTCACAGAATCAAGAGCCTCAATCAAAACCTGTTTAGACACATCTGACCAATTGCTACCAGACAATGAAAATATATCTTGTTGAATTCTCTGTCTCATAGCTCTGCCTGTCCTAAAAAGATGTGCATTACTGCTTTCCAGCTACCTTAAAAAGTCCAAGGCCTCCCCGAATCAATGTTTAATTAATTGTCACCAGTACATGGCAGATGAAAATTCAAATTAAGGGTTCTTATGCCTACATTAACCGCCAAAAGAAACCGAAATCTTGACAGCTCTTATTGTTTTTTTCATGGATTTTTGAAGGCGATGCTCAAAACCATGACAGCAGAGAACAAACATAGCAATATTGCACACTCTCATTTTTGTGTGTGAGAGAGAGATAGATAAGTGTGCAGAAACAATAAAATAGCCACCTATTTACTTGTTTTATTCTTAAAAATTAATTGAAGCCATTAGACATTAAATGACTTTGCAAGGGTGATGAATGCACACTCTAAAAGAAAAATACAAAATGAAAAGAAAAACAGGGGTTTGTTATTAGCCCTGAAGAGTCCATCATCTGGTCATATCTAACTGAGTGGACTCTGCCCTGGACCTTGAAAGATGGTCTCCCCTATGGCATCTTATATGAAATTGACTCCTAATGGAACAGGGGGGGAGGACCCATAAAGACCCATTAGCGGCACCTAGAGGCTGTAATGTCCATTACACAGAGTGTTTTAAGGAATAAACAACTCATCATACTTATATGCTCATCTTGAAAGCTTATGTAACAATATCACTTGGTTAGGTTTGTTTTCTGAGAGCAATGCAGTAAAGACCACAGGATCTCATATGTCCATCCATGTATTCAATTCTATTCTATGTCTCTTTCTATGCCTGCATATCTTCTGGGGGCTGCATCAAAGAGACAGCCCAAAAAGTCTTTTGGAGACCTGAAAGTCTCACAGAATCCTTGCATTCATCCCAAAGGGAATAGTGTAGCACAGTTCCCCCTTTTTCTGCCAGTTCTTCCCTTTGAAAACTCAAAGCGTCACTAACTTATCCTTCCAAAAGGTGCAGTTATTTTTGTATCATTTATATAAATTATATAACATTCCTGTCAATAATATTATTGATAATGTTAAAAAAACAGATTTATGATGTGGACATGCTATGAAAAAGGTGAAGGCAAGCAAACAGCACTATTTGGTTCATTTTCTTAAACACATTTGATGATACACTATGAAACAGTGATGGTGGTAGACATGTTTTTATTGAAGTGGGGGTGATTGTTTGTTGGAAGTACCATATAATAAAGAAATTCACGCTGCATTTGCATTCTGCTGTTCCCTTTTCATCTGCTCTAATAGGTTTATTAAAAGTGGATCACCATTAGAAACAAAGGGCAAAGTGGCCTGTAGATAACTGCTGATGCCTTTCAAAGCCTAAAATTGCTTAAATTTGACTCTGACAGCTATCTGTGAAAACATTCCCTATCTATAAGCCTCCCGCAGGCTTTACACCTTAGTATACGTTTGCAAAGGTGTTTGTCTATGTAAATACAGATGTTCTTGCATGTAGTCTCCCAACTCAAATACAACATGTAAGCCCACAGCGTTGATGCTTTATGTAGGTAGAATGCTGTACTGCTGAAAAGTTGTCATGTACGGGTAAGGTAATGAC